AAAAAAAACGTGTCATATCCATAGATTTCTTTTTTCCCCATAGACTAAATTTGAGTTAGGTGTCTATTAGTTTGACTCAGTTGCTGTGTGTTTACTAATTAGTCCATACATACCCAAATAACACAGGTATTATTTCCAGTTTTAGAGACTTGAGTCTCAGAGACACAGAGTTTCAAACAAAGTCTATCTTTCATGCTATGAGAAGTGAAATCCTTGGGCAGTTTGGAAGCTAACTTCAGCAATATTATGTTTTTTTTCTGATAAAAGAGGCCCAAAACTGATGTGCTTTACTCAGCCAATGACAGAACAAGGCCAAGAAATAGATTCTATCTTCATGACCAAATGCTTGACCTAGATGTATTATTAGTTGGCTGATGTAATCAGTGGTTTGATCTGTTTCCCTTGTTGTGTTTGTGTCTATTTCTTTTGAAGATTATTATTTAAAGTTTTAACTTTTATTTGGAGGACTCTTCCTACACCAAGTAGCTTAGATCTTAAACTCCCCTACAAATGGCAGCTACAGTCACAATATCAAATGGTCACTCTAAAAGCCCTGTGTTATAGTGATCAAGGGGGAAAAAAGAAAGCATAAATGAGAAATATCAGGAATGAAAGAGGAAGTTGAATGTTCAGTGCATGCTTGTAATCCCACCACTCTTGGAGGCTGAAGCAGGCAGACCATAAATTCAAGCCCAGCCTAAGCAACTGAGATATAGTGAGATCCTCTCTGAACATTAAAAATAAACAAAATAATTGGGGATGTAGTTCAGTCTGGTGGCTCTGTTTAAAATCCTCATTACTGAAAAAAAAAAGACTACAGATTTAACAGACTTTTTTTAAAAAAAAAGTTAAAAGAGGACAGTAAAAAGAACATTATTGGGACTGGGGTGATAGCTTAGTGGTATAACTGTCTACCTGGCAAGTGCAAGACCCAGGTTCAATCCCAGGTACTGCATGCTGTGCTGGCCCCAGTGAGGCAGGCTGGCCTTGCTGTAGTAGCAAGACCCTATACTAAGTAAGTAAATAAGCAAGAGATTTAAAAAAAATTTAAAAAGAAAGAATGTTATTAACATATTGAGAATGGATACAGTAGTCAAAACTTTCAAGATGAGCCAGTTGTGGTGGTGCACACCTGTAGTCCCAGCACTTAGGCTGTGGCAGGAGGATTGCCTCATATTTGAGGCCAGCCTGGGCTATACCATGAGTTTAAGACCAATATAAACTATATAGAGAGAATGTCTCAACAAACAAATATTTTTGAGATGGCACCTGAGAAAGGAGAGCTGATCTCCTAACTTCCAGGTCCAGTTGGCATCTTGAGGGCATTTGCCACTACTGACTGCATCCTTACTAAAGTCTCTGTTTTGGCTTCTGCAGAACACCACATTTCTCCATCGAGGCCCTTTCCTCTCCCTCCTTCCTCCTACTTAATGGCCTAACTGTTCACATTTGCACACTTTGACTACCATTTGTACACTCATGGCCCCCATCACTGCAGCCCAAACTGCCCTGTTGAACTTCAGTTGGACTAAATGCCCAACTCTGGTTTAGACGATGACCAAGACTGGCCTCTTAATCCTTGAGTGTCCTCTTCTGGGTATCTCAGACTCACCATTTCTTCTTTGTTAACCATGTCTAGTTTTCTTTTGGAAAGTAACCTATGCCCATTCTCCACCATAGTAGGTCAGGAAATGCTTTCTTTCTACCTCAACATCGAACCCACTTGAGAGAGTTACTTAGTTCAGTCCCTCCAGCCTGTCTTCCTCACTGCTGACTGCATATCTTCCCAGTCAAGTCTCCCATGGTGACTGGGGTCCTCCTTCTTTGATGTTTCTCTGTTAAGAGGTGGGCTATTCTCTAAATCTGGGCAGGCTTATGAATGCTTTGGCCAGTTGCGCTCTGCCAGAGGGACTCTGTAAGACCTTGAAAGTGAAGGTAGCAAGGTCCACACAACTCCCCCTGGTCCTGCAATGCTCATGCTAGGAGGCCTCCTCTCAGGAAGTCCAGTCCAGGAGAACCCAGCCATCATTTTGTGAAAAGCCCAAGTCATTTGAATCTCCCCAGCTGAAGCTCTGGACACAATCAAAAGTGAGCTGTCTCGGCAGCTCTAATCTCTTTGCCTTGGGAAACTGAGGCAATAAATTGAATGGTTGTATTAGAGCTAACTTTGAGAATAATCCATTGCATAATAATAGTAGTAGATCACTTATGCAATACCTGGGTGAAAATGTTTCAGGGATTTCCCATCACTACCAGGATGGAGTACAAATTTGACTCTCAATACCAGACACCTGCTGCCCTCACCAAGTCCAGCTCTTGCCCCTATCCACCCAGCCCTAATCCCAGTCATTCCATAGTTCTAGGAATAGTTCCTACTTTCTAGGTTACCATCTTTTGTACGTGTAGAGGTTTTCTGCTGGATGTCAGGAAAAGAACCAAATATTTACCAAATCACCTGGAAATAGGAAAATGCACATCTATTTCCTTCATTAAAATCCCATTTCCCCAGGAATAATACCAATTGAGCGGCCCTGACATAGTCTAGGAAACCTGCATTCAAAGAATATATTCAAAGAATATGGGTTATTTTCTAAGCCTGTGAATGAAATGTAAATGTTATGTGCATGGAACCCGGAGCCAAATTACCTGTTATCAAATTCAAGCTCTATCACTTTGCAATGAGTGAGTTTGTGCAGGTTACTTAACCTCTTTAGGCTTCATTTTTTTCCATCTGCAAAATGGTGTGATAAATAATACTTCATAGAGTTAAAGGAAGGACTACATGAGTATGTACAGTATTTAGAATGGTCCCTGGTAAAGAATGCTTGGGTAGGTAAGCATTTGTTTACAGTGAAATAACTGCAAGTACTTTGACCACTGTTCACATTTCACTGGTGTTATTTTCTGTGGGAGCCCTCCCTAGAGTCTCCCTCACACTAGCTGGTTTCCCAGAGAGGCCCATCCCTCAGCTCACCGGGTGGCTCTGTCTCTGCAGTCCAATCCCTGGAGCTTCACCCTTCCATTCATCTGCTGGACTTCCAAAGGCAAGGCTAAGTTTTATCCATTTTTCTCCTCCCAGCACCTGAGTCATAATAGGCCTTCATTAAATGTGTGTTAAATGAAATCCTGTGCTTATAAGCCATACCGGTCATAGTGGCTGAACAGAACCCAAGACTTAGGCCATTTCTTCTGACTCTTAGACCTAAGCTACTTATAGGTGAGTGTGTGTGTCCACTCATGCCTGGCCATTCACTTTTAAAATTACTTTATCAGGTACTCATAGAATAATCTATGTTCTTTCAGTTCCCTTCTGACTCCCCCCTCCACTGTTTTAGTGCTGATCAATTATTATTCCTGGAGAAAGAATTACTGGGAAGGAAGTAGATCTACATCCTTCCAATTAGCTAGAGGGTTTACTGAGTATCTGGAGAACCCCGAAGACTTGCCGCCTCCTTCACGTACGAGGTCGTTTTTTTGATCCATTTGTTATTTTTCCAAGTGAAGAGATGAAGGCAGAGCCCCCAGTAAACAAGCTGAATTCAACCTGAGTTTCAGGTTGGGGCTCTCTCTACCCCTCCTACTTCCCTGCCAGCATCAGCTGGCGCTGTCCTTGCTGTCCTCACGAAGCACAGTTCGGAGGGTGGCTCCCCAAGCCCCTTAGGTGCAGCGGGCCTTCCCCGCCCATGGAGCGTGTGATATTCGTGTGTGTGTGTGCGTGTGCGTGCGTGCACGTGTGCGTGTTGTGGAGGAGACCTGGCCCGATATTTGAAATGCTATCTCCTGCTTGCAACTCTATTATCGATTCCAGAATTGCTTTTACTCCGTCAAATGACACACAACCACTTAAATCAGAGTGAAGCGAAGACTCACGCTGTCCCCTGTTCCCGCCTGTCCCCTGTTCCCATCTCCTTAGCGGGACTGAGCCTGCTTTTCCGACGGCTCCGGGCGTCGCCCTCTACGGCCTCTCCTCTCTCCTCCCCTCTCCCTGCTGTCGTACCGTGCGCGGGCGACGGTTTTGGGGAGGGGGGGCTGGGCAGGGGGCGTGGAAGGCCTGGCGGGGAGGGGCGCTGAAGCGCTGTCACCGCGTGTCACGCTGCCCTCCCCGCCCTCCTCCGGGTGTGGAGCGCGGCAGAGGCCGGCGAGTGGGAACGCGGGCGGCCTGGCTTCTCTGCGAGCCGCGCCGCACCGGAGCGGGAGGCGCAGCCGGAGCCGGAGCCGGAGCCTGAGCCGCGCTGTAGCCAGCTCCGTGCGCTCGCGGAGCGCCGCGCCATGGAGCCCTCGCACAAGGACGCCGAGACTGCGGCTGCCGCCGACCCCCGTGGGGCGGCCTCGTCCAGCGGGGTGGTGGTGCAGGTCCGCGAGAAGAAGGGGCCCTTGCGCGCCGCCATCCCCTACATGCCCTTCCCTGTGGCCGTCCTCTGCCTCTTCCTCAACACTTTCGTGCCCGGACTGGGTAAGCACCGGGTGGGTCGCGCCCCCGGCCCTGTGGGGTGGCAGGGACGAGGGCTGGGCGCCAGCGCGACCCTAGGACCCGGCGCCCGCCGCCCGGCAGGTGGCAGAGAGAGGAGCGGCGCCCAGAGAGTTGCGTGGGGGCAGCGGCCGCGGCTGGACGACCAGTCCGGAGCGGCCCGAAACTTCGGGATGACCGTCGGGCCAGCGGGTGGCGCCCGGACGGCTCCAGCTGCAGTCGCCCGCTCCAGCCCAAGCGCCCCAAATCCGCCCCTCCTTCCCGTCCGCGCGCCTGCCTACGCGAGTCGTCTCTCGGGGAGCGCGGAGCCTTCGGGACCCGGGTCTGGGCGCCCTAGGTGCTCACTTCTGAGTGGCCGCGGGGTCAACTAGCCGCGGAAGGGGAGAGCCAGCTCGGCAGCGCGAGGTGCAGGCGGTGAGGGTGAGGGCTCTGTAGCTGGGCTCCTGGCTGCTTCCAGGGGACCCCTGGGACTTTGAGGGCCCGGGTCGATGTCACTGGTGCCCAGGATGTCCTGGGACCCCACTGCCCTGGCTGGAGGTGCCGGAGAGAAAGCAGAGAGCCTGCTGGGCCATTGTCAGGCACTCTCATGTCTGCTGCCCGGAAGTATCAGTGCACCCAATTTTAAGGAGTCCCATCACAGTGGCAGAGCTGAAGGGTAAGTAGAGGGGGAACAGGACGGCTCCCTGCTCTTCCTTCTCTGCCAGCGCCCTACCCCACCTCCAGCCCAACTGCTTCCTACGGGCTGCTCTTTTGGGCGCAGGGGTGCCCCCCATTCCGCCTGCGGAGAAAGCTGCAGAGGCGGGCACCCCTGGACCTCTCCAGAGAGCCCGCTCTGAGGGAGCACTGCACAGAGTTCTCAAGAGCAGAGGTCAGCTGCAAGTGCTTTTCTGGTCTCCTTGGCCTTTCTCACGGCCTTCTGAGACTGGAAGGGCCTATGGTGTGCTGAGGTCGCCAAACCCATGGCTGCCCACCAGGAGCCGTGGGCTTCCCAGGCTTTTACTCATCTTTCTGCCCAAGGGGCTGCTGTGGTTGGGGGATCTTGTCTGAGCAGAAAGTTAATCAGCCTTTAGTTGGATTTTTCCTTTATAGATGCTTGCAGCAATCCACAGGCCCACACCCCACTGAAGTGAGCTGATGCTAATCTAATTGTGTCAGAAATTTCCACCACTGGAGTAGACTGCCTTTCCATCTCTGCATAGGATGTGAACCTCAAGCTAGGATTCACCTTTAGTTTACTGGGTTTTTTTTTAAGCGGTGAGATGCCATCCTGTAGGCTTTTGAGGAAACAAATGCTTGGCTGCCCTGTGGCAAGGGCTATGCCAAGCGTCTTCTGGGGAGGGAGTCAGCTCTGTAGACCAGTCCCAGAGACAGCACTGTCTACCTTCTGCCTGTACCTGCTCCTGGGCCACACTGACCCTCAGCCTGCAGCAACGACAGCATCCCCTGGCTCATCCTGATGCCTGTTCTCAAGGAGCTAGCTTCCTCCTTGCAGTTCCCTTTGTGAAAGCAGAGTCTCATGGGATTTTTATTTTTTTAAAAAGACAAAACTTTCTAAGAAACCAGGAGAATATAAAGGGGAAATAAGCAAACTGCAAAAGCAATAAAACAGGTGAGCTGTGGGTGTAGAGACTTCTGAATTTTCAGTAACTTAACCTAGGCCTTATTTTATTTTATTTTTTTGCTGTTTTGCATTGGTTGCTACTATGCAGTTTTCTGCTTGTATAGGTCTGGTTCCTATCCACACAGAGCATGGACTACTTGACCTTAGATGGTATCTCTCACCTTTTAGTCAGAGACCCCATCCCCTGGATTTCAAGGAGGATACAATATGACTGGCTTCAGGATGTTTTCCTGAGCTGCTGGTCTGTTTTGTCCTTGCTGGACCCTGGTCCCACCTCTGGGTGCAGTTACTGTAGCTGTGGGTGTAGCTTCTGAGTAATGCTGATCTCTCTACTCCCCTCTTCCCCACTGTGGAACTCTGGGCAGACCATGAAGACTGTGGATTTTTTTTTTTTTTTTTTTGGTGTTTGCCTATGGTTGTTTGGTGCTACTACATCCCTACCTTTCCCCAGAGCGGCCCTTGGAAGTCCTCCCCTTGGTACAGACCCCATTCTCTGAAGCCCCAGAACAGCTGCATATTCATGCTGGCTCTGCCCTTTGATAAAATGCTGCTTCTTCACATCCATTCACTCATTCATCCACCACATGCCAGGCACTGGGAATGTGAGGGTGAATAAATCAGTCAAGAGGCAATAGACTGTTGAGGAAAATCAATACAAACTTTGAATTCACCAAGTGCTACGAGGGTGGCAGGAACAGTCCATGTTTTAGCAGCGATTAATTTTTCCTGGAGGATACAAGGGGCGTCCCGAACACGCCTCCCAGAGGGAAGTGTGGTTGGTTAGTTCCTGCTGAGAAAACCCATCATGCAGCCCCCAATACTTGCCAGCATTTGCCAGCACTACACACCCACTCTCTGGAAACTGCTCAGAACCCTGATCTGAACATTTCTTCTCTTTCCTCTGGAAACTTTCCTTCTGTGCAAGTCCTTTCCTTATTTGCAGATTGGATTAGAGAATAAGCATTGGGCTGTATGAAGGCTCATTTTTCCCCCTCTGATGTAGGTGTCTCAGGTCTCTCCAGCCTGGGGAAGATGCCCTGTCATTAAAATTCCCCCACTTTTTCTCCATGTGAGCAGCAGTGCTGTCAGAATAATGCTCAAGGTCTAAGAGAAACGTTTCCTCTCCTGTGGGTGCTGGAGAAGAAGAGGTGATTCATGTCACTCTGATTCTCATTGGAACATGGAGGAACGTTTTCCTAAAGTAGACCATGGTAAGGAGAGTCATTCCAGCCTATTCAGAAAAACTTTACTGATAAAGACCACTACTAATTTGGGGATAGAGTTCAGTGGCACAGTGCTTGCCTGGCAAGCTCTAGGTCTAAAGTTTGATTCATTGTGCGAAAAAAAAAAAACAAAAAACAAAAGAAAATATACATCACTACCAGTATCACCATGTTCCAACAGGAAGGGACTTTATGAGCATATGCCATTATTCATGTATATAACCAAAGTTCATTGTTATGTCCCAAGATGGTCAGAAAGTTTGTCTATTGGTGAAGATATAATTGTGCTTCCATAATTAAAATTAACATCTGCCATGATTTGGCAAAACAAAAATGTGGATGAATCAGAAAGTGACAGGCAAAATTGGAGAGAGAAGGGCTCCCACTGATTGTTAACCACTCTATCAGACTAACGCTGGCCATTAATCTACTGCTGAAACCCACATAAACATTTAATCTATCCCTAATCTGCAGCCTGCTCTTTGTCATCACTAAAACTTTTCCTTCCCAAGTAAGAGAGCTCCACAGCCTGGTTTAGTTTCTCTCTTTCCTTTAGGCCTAAGGCTCAAACTGATGGTTTGAGCCCTAGCATGTGACATCTTTTGTATTAGTGACTTTATGTTACTGTTTTGAGAATTTATTGTCTATACAAATAGATTGTAAATTCCTTGAGAGTAGCAATTATTTTAAGTTTCTCTGTGAAATAGTATATTATAAATGAATACATACTGGTAGAATTTTACTCCCAGAGTAGACAATAGAGGTCATCTGGCCTAAGCATGCAAGGGCCAAGGACCAACCTTTTTAAGAAAGATACTTGAAGATGCATTTCAGCATAGCAAGGGAGTAAGCAGGAAAGAAGATATGATATCCAAAAAACAATGGATCTTCCTTCAGGCAGCCATGAAAAGCAACCCCAGGATGAAGTTGTTCCACAGGCCTGAAAGGCAGTCAGTCTTCATTACAGTAGGACTGCTCCAGGAAAGCAGTTTCTGAGGATAACATGAGACGTGAGACAGGGAAGTATTATTGGAATAAGGCAAAAAGTTAAGGTTGTAATCAAAGAAAGAAAGCAAGAAAAACAGAAGGCAGTTAGTAAGTGTAAGAAAGACAAAAAGTCATGCCGGGGATATAGCTCAATGGCACAAGCACCTGACTGCCAAGCACAAGGTTCTGAGTTTGATTCCTGGTAATCAATCAATCAATCAATCAATCAATCAATCATGCAAAAGCATTAAGATCTAAAAGTGAAGCAGCCTGCTCAGTTAGATCAAGTCATCAGGGATGAAGTGGGAGGGCAGGAGGAGAAGGAAATGGAGAGAAAGAGAAAGAAGAGGAAGAAGACAAGGAAGAAGAAGCCAAACAATAATGAATGAGAAAGAATTGAGAGGCTGTTAGGGATATGACATATACGCCTTATGCTTCTCTTATCAACAAGGAAAAAGCAAGATAATCAGAAACTTCAGGAAAGCCCAACATTTTTTTTTCATGAAAGGCATAGTCATGCAGTGATCCAAAGCATGGCCCAGTTTTGAGCTGTGGATTTATATGGTGGAATGCAAGCCAGATTCTTAAACACATGGCATCTCTGTCCTAGGAACAGTGGTGTGGGCTCCCTGTCTCTGTGGGAAACTGTGTGCTTAGTCACAATAATAGAAATGATTGCTGCTAGGTGTTTTTTAACTTTTGAAAATCAACAACAAAACCCTGAAAACTCCTTGAGAAAAGCTGTAAAAGAGCTTGTGAAAGCTTTGTGCATTGGCAATATAAAATGAAAAACACAGCTTGTAGAAGTTGGAGAATAGAAAGGAAGTGAAACCATGAGAGATTAAATTATTGTTCTCAGTCATGCAGCATCTTCCTTGAAAGAAAATTGTATTCTTGCCTGATACTGTGCCTGGCCTTGCCCTGTTGGGGAGATTACTACTTCTCTTCCCTGTTGATATTGGGCTTAGCATATGACTTGCTTTGGCCAAATGAATATGAGTCTAAGTGACACAGGCCATGCCAAACAGACACTATAAGAGGCCCTGTGACATTCTGCCACTGTTTTTTAAGTTTATTTTTTATTTATTGTGTGTGTGTGTGTGTGTGTGTGGCCAGCTCAGCCCACCAGGGGGCGGGACTGGCTGGCATGTGGT